GCCAAGGCCGCCATATCGGTGGCGCTGAGGCGGTGTTCGAGCTTCGATCTCGGGAGTATGAAGTAGATCTGATCGGCCTCAAGTTCATCTTCGGAATCCAAAACCGGGATGTAGTTGTCGTAATACAAACGGTCTGAATTGCATATAAACGACGACGAAGAGGAAGAGGATGCCGTTTGGACAGCCTCGAGGACTTGGGAGACAATCACGGGAACTGGGCATTCGCGGAGACTTCCATTGATGGAGATAACTTTGGCGGTGGGCGAATTGAGCAGAAGCTCTTCATTATGACTACTCCTGATCACTGACGACAAGCATCCACCCATTATTTTCCAGATTGATTGATTGCTTGTGGGTAATATTACTCTGAGAAGCAATCAAGCAGAAAGCTAGGGCTGATGAGTGAGGAGATGAAGAAGGTTTTGTTTGTTTGAGAGAGAGGAGAGAGAGGGGTTTGAAATTTGAGGGGAGAGAGGGGTGTGTGGGTTATATTAATAAGGGAAAGGGAAAGGGAAAGTAAAAGGAAAAGTAGAAGAAAAAGGAAAGGAAATTGTATGGCAGTGCTGAAAGGGAATGGGAATACGTAAGCGAGGTCGTCAGGAGACTCAATAGACAATAAACGACAACTTTTCCGATAGAATGGGACGGCTTGACTCTCTTCTCCCCTTGTTCTTAATGCAGCCTCAGTCCGCCTAAGCGATGACGTCTAAACGCGTAGTAAAACTTGTGCTGCGCGCTCTATATCTGCTTGCCATGCAAGAAATAAAACAAATGAAACGCGATAAAAAAGAAAAAAGCCCAAAAAGTCCAAACACAACGGCTCCGGGGAACCAAGAGACAACCCGATACAGAACAAGGGAACAAATCCCAGCTCAAACTCAAAAGAGCTAACACCTCCTCTCCTACAAACAGAAACTAGTTGACCATTGACCAACAACACTAGTTGACCCAAAAATCTACAAACAGAGATCAACAGAAAATTAACATCTACACAGGGATTGGACTCAGAACCTTCTTTCCCGTGGGAACGGCTTCAAACAAACAGTCAAAATAAGATTATATATGATATGAGTATGACTCAACAACAAAAAAGGTAAGAGTTAGGTTTGTACAGTTGCCTAAAAGTAACATCCGAGCCGAGTCACATCATCCTCCAAATTTGTTTTGTGAATTGTCTTTTGTTCATACCATCCGAGTCACGTTAGCCGAAGGTAAAAATAACATCCACTGTCACTTTAGTCCTTAGATGTTCGAGTTGAAATTAGTCTCATACTGAAAAACTAGAGTTCCTTAGATCATTGATTGAAATCAAGGGGGTACAATTACATCATTCGCTACAAATGATTCCAGCCAAGGAGGAACATCTTCATCCTGAATAACAGTGTCTTGATGACACTTGAGAGAAAAAATTAGCTAATTTATGAGCTACCTTAACTTCATCGAAGAGGTAGTCCTCTGAAATTGATTAAGACACCCCTTAACTTCATCAATGATATAAGTCAGTAATAGTGTAGAGAAACCAATTTTATATTTTCAGATATTTTTACGTTAGTAATAGTCACTAATACATCTCATTAGTGAATAGTCTATTATATGCGGAATCTCATTAGTGAATAGTCTAATCTTTTTTTCTTTTCTTTTTTCCTTTTTCCAAATTGTATGTTATATTAAATGAGCAATTAGGAGTGTCAAAAACGACTTTCAATCAAATTCAACTGAATTTAGTTGGGAAATCGAACGAGAGAGGTAGAAGGCAATATTGTTCAGTTTCTAATGGTTGCTGTGGGAAGGCTCATTTTGATGAATAATCACAATACCCTATGACGTGTCCTATCCTATGTTTCTCCTCAAATTATTAGAAAACAGGCCGAAGTCCAAATAGCAGTAATGGACTGATGACTAAGCCTATTTTGCCCCTCGCAGGCCTATCTCTCTCTTACCGACCCAAAGAAAAAGTGAAGGGAGTGTCATCACGACATAAATATATATCTGTAGAGCACCGAAAGGTGACAGAAAGAGGTGGACCGCGGACCCATCACAGATTGCCTTTAATTTTATGAAAACTTTCATATGGAGAGCGTGAGATGGTATTGACCCAAATTTTTGATTTGATGATTTGGATTGGATAGTGCAGACAGATAATGAATGAAAGTTAATATGGTAAACTAAAGAAAGAAAGCCCCATTATCCACAGTGGGACGCACCCAACGACTGCCGATATCTCTCTCTCTCTCTCTCTCTCTCTCTCTCTCTCTCTCTCTCTCTCTCTCTCTCTCTCTCTCTCTCTCTCTCTCTCTCTCTCTCTCTCTCTCTCTCTCTCTCTCTCTCTCTCTCTCTCTCTCTCTCTCTCTCTCTCTCTCTCTCTCTCTCTCTCTCTCTCTCTCTCTCTCTCTCTCTCTCTCTCTCTCTCTCTCTCTCTCTCTCTCTCTCTCTCTCTCTCTCTCTCTCTCTCTCTCTCTCTCTCTCTCTCTCTCTCTCTCTCTCTCTCTCTCTCTCTCTCTCTCTCTCTCTCTCTCTCTCTCTCTCTCTCTCTCTCTCTCTCTCTCTCTCTCTCTCTCTCTCTCTCTCTCTCTCTCTCTCTCTCTCTCTCTCTCTCTCTCTCTCTCTCTCTCTCTCTCTCTCTCTCTCTCTCTCTCTCTCTCTCTCTCTCTCTCTCTCTCTCTCTCTCTCTCTCTCTCTCTCTCTCTCTCTCTCTCTCTCTCTCTCTCTCTCTCTCTCTCTGACTCGGTGGAACAAATGAAGAAGCATCCAGCATTGGAGTGAGTAACCATCCTTCCTTACACACAAACAAAACAACACGAACACAACACACATCGCTGGTTCTCCCTCGTAAAACAAGAAGAGGATAAAAGAGGGTCCTATTTCCTTCCAGAATTATAGATAGGAAAGCGACGTGTCTACCCAAACAACACTAGTCATGTAAGCGTGGCACTCATTTGGCACCCACAGTCCTCCTGAGTCCTGACTCACTCTCTCTCTCGTAACAAGTAACGTATCAAGGAAGCCGACAGACAGAGCGGACCAACCTCATCCCAATCCCAATCCCAATCCCAATCCCAATCTCCTTCTCATTTTTTATTTATATACATTACTAGTCTATTAATAACAGTGTCACACCGCGATAAATTATTTTTGTATGTATCAAACTGTAATTTACCGGAAGAAAGAAAGAATATCTCCTTACATGCAAGAATACAGGGATAAGGAGGAGACAAGCAGTATCATTCATTCATATCTGTTTCTGTTTCTTTTTGTTTTTCTACAACTAAAAATCGAACAAATAATTTATTAAAATTTATTGATAAGAGATGAAAAGGCCAAGCCCCACCCATCCCATTAATAAACGAATGGATGAGAGAGGATGGAAGCCACCACACAACTACCAGCAGCCTTCTTTCACTTCAGATTCTTCACGGCTCTCATTCATCCACTTGTGTCTGTCTGCTCACTTGTTATATTATTATTCTTTATTCATATTCATTTTAGGAGATGATTTTTTATATTCAATCACAGAGAGAGAGAGAGAGAGAGAGAGAGAGAGACTGGAAGCATCTTCATCTGGACAAGACTACCCCATAAAGAGATAGAGAGGGAGAGGTACTACTAGTGTAGTGTGTACCAAAATTACCAATGGCTGCCCTTGTCTTTGTGCGTGGGGTTTACGTGTCTACCAAGCCTTTCTTTTCTTCTTCCATTTTTTTTTTCTTTTCGCTGATAGCAACCTCCATTTCATACAGACTCCAAATGTCCAAACTCAAATCATTTTCAATTTGTCATCCATTTGCAATTATTTATTATTAATTTCAACCATAAAACATAATTGATGAAATATTAATTTTCTTTTAAGAATCTTTTTTGTCTGCATAGATCATCTCCCTTCCTGCGTCTCTCATCCAACATCCATAAACCAACTGCGTAGCCCCAAAGCTACCTACCTTGTCTTCATTCATTTCCGTCCAGTGTCCAAGTACCATTCCCTCCCTATTACTATTAATTAAACCCTAATTTCAAAATCACTAATTAACTCAGTCAACCCCATCTATATCCTCTGGAATATTTGTTGAATTTTAATTTTAATTATTAAATTACTTTGATGCCCTATTAAGTGTGTTGAATTTTTTTTATTTATGAAATTTTAAGATTGAACTTATTTTAAGAAATCGATGACAGTTTTATAATTTATAAAAAGTTCGAAACCTCTTTGTTATGTTGTAACCATTTCATGTAAGATTTTTTAAAAAAATTTACACCCCTATATTGGGTATAATAGTGAATCTCCAAAAACAAAAAAGGAAATATCTAGCATTGGGTATTTGCCTCATATCAATCACTAGTGCATGCAGGACATAGCCTAAATTGGTAAACTATGCATCTGACACCTCACACTCCCTCCCCCTAATAACTTAATTCTGAAAAATTCAATTCACATAAATATTGGAGCCTCCCTCCCTCTCCCGACTTTTATCTTGTCTGAAAGTATAGCTCCAAATGCATCCGCAACTTGCCACACACAAACAAGCCAGCCACAGAGCATACGGAATAAACCAGAACTTGCAATTTACAAGAAACACCATTTATATGCACAAAATATGTTTTCTACATATTCATATGTACATATAAAACCACTCAAACTTGATCACTGTTGTATTTTCTAACAACCAGAAAGAAACCCAAGCTATATGTCATACTGCTGTACAAAAACCAGAGGGGGAGCTAGCTAGCTAGCTAGTAATATATATATCCTAGAGTTTCTGATTCATTTACAAAACAGAATCCCAGACAGAGAGTGTGATGGATTAAGGGACCATCCATGATGCTTTCCAAACATATCATTCCCTAGCTTTCAAACATTTATATATATATATGTACTTCTTCATCCTTACTTTGTTCCTTCTATTTGAGCCACTAAACATATTAAAAGCTAATTTATGTCGATGATTTACTATATGAACATATATGTGTATGTATCTATATATTTATGTACTTTTAACTTAGTGGGAATGGGAATCTGATCAAAAGGGTGCGCGGTGAGGTATACCCTTACGTCTTCTGGCATTGTTGTGGTTGTAAATGGGAGGTGTGGACGGAGACATATTGGTAGTGCCTTCCTCATCACCAGAACTTGAGCTAGTACCCTCCCTTTGAGTCCTGCCCTGGTATTTCATTGCATTGCCATCCATTAGACGGCTGAACATGTTCACCGTCCTTGCTATCTTCTTTGGAGTTGTTGATTCATCCGATTCTGACCCGCCATAGAAACCATCCCTGTAGTGCTTCGCCCTCAGCACTGTAAATGTGAGCTCACCGTCTCCGCGCTTTATTCCTTTAAGCTACAATTCACAAACCAAACCAAATCAATACAATGTCAGTCAGGTGTGTGTGTGTGTGTATATATAATACACTGGAGACAAAAGAAAACAGGGCAGAAAAACAGGGGATTCAAACTAGTCCCCATTCCCAGATAACAAAAACTTGTACTTTCTAACCCCCCCCCAAATCAAGCAACAAACAAGAAAGCAAATAACGCGAAACTCGAACAATAAAAAGTAAAGGCAATTTCTTGAATAAAAACAAATGTCACATTAATTACAGACGATGAATTACCTTGCAACCCAAGGAGCAGAACCTAAAGGAGTCGGGGAGGCTTCTGCAGCAAATCTCACAAGTGTTGGTGACCCCTTTTCCAGGCCTTGGCTGCGGCCTCTCGTTCAAAAACACAATCTTTGCGCTGTTGATGACGTACGTCTGCACGTGCGATATATCCAAGAACTTCTGAATCTCATTCACTCTCACCACATCATGGTATGAGGACCGCCTTATCTACAATCAACAACAAGAACCCACACCACGCAATAAATCTTTTGATGCATTCTAAACAAAATCAACCAACGAAAAAGATTAGAAATTGGTTTACAATCTGCAGCTAGCTCATGTTAAATTGGTGGAAATCAATCAAAGGAAACCAACCTGAACAACGCGGTGATCCTTGTGATGAATTAAACAGTAAGGGCACATAGCATCTTCCATGCAATCCAAGCAGAACATGTTGCATTCGCTCTTATTGGCCCTCCCGTGAATTTCACATTGCCTGAAGTAGTTTGCAGTCAGCATTGGCTTTAACCACGGCGGGCTCATCGCGTCCTGTTCGTTCCCAAATCGACCTATTGGTATTGAACTCACCTGATTACATTTACAATCAAACCCAAATACGAATGAATTAATAACCTAACTGAAGCAGAGCAAATTAAGCAATGCCATGCGAGTGTGTAAGTAAAGATAACAAGATACATACCATGGCTCTGCCTCTGTTCTGCTCTTCTTCTTCTTCTTCTTGTTGATTATGACGAAGCAGAGGCTCCTGCAGCCTGTCCAGCTTCTACCAAGACGAATCAAACCCTTTTCCAAGATGGAGATTGAAATCTGAAAACACAGATTCAAGAAAGCCAAAAAAAAAACAAAATTGAAATAAAGACACATTAATTACAGAAAGACCAAGATACGAATATGTGGAGAAGATGAAGATAATAGCAGACCTTCAAGAACTTCAACAAGGAAAGTCGCAAGTAGTGGAATCGGCAGTAAGCAAAAGGGGTGGGAAAGTGGAGGTGTTCAACAACTAGGGTAAAAAGAGGACACTGCTGTTCAAGCACACAAACAAAGACTATATATATATATATAAAGAGATTTGTATTGGCCTAATAAAAAAAAGATGGAAAACACTGGAGAATGGGAGACACAGCAGCAGACGCTTATGATAATTGCTAAGAAATTTATAAGGCGGTCACTCAAAAAAAGCTGCATATCTCCAAATATTTAACTAATTAATTAATTAATTAATTATAAAAAAGGCAAAAGGATAAAAAAGGAAAGTTATAACTTAAAAGGAGGAGCAGGACACGAGAAAAGGAAACGTGCCCGCATTTGGTAACAGACGAATTTATCGACGTTCCACGGACTACTCGAATGCAGCATTCACATGATATTCCTCTTTTATTAGCCGTTCGATCTCAGCGTCTATATGCTCCACCGTTGGATGTGGTTACAGGTTGGCCCCATGGGCAATGGGGGCCTCTCTTTCATAATGCACAGATGTTGATTTCAACGCCGCCAAGAGTCCAAGGAATGCCGGGTACAAAAGACCAAACCTAGCTGGTCAAACCAAACCATCAGCCCAACTTAAAGCCTCAAATTTCAATTAGGGCTTCTTATTTTCTTTTTATTTACATAATTGAATTGAACGACTAAATGTGATTGTTGATAGATAATCTTGAATATTAATTATTTTCCAAATCAAATCAGAAGAATATTCTGTACATAATAGTTGAACAGATATGGCAATCTATAAATTTATTACTCCAAATATTATTTCTTTGTTTATGTGTTTTTTTTTGGAGTAAGCGATAATTGTATTCATAACTTAGGCAAGGATATTCCAAATACATAGAAATACACCACAAGGTGTATCTCCATTAATAATACCACAAAGCCAAAGAAATTTCGACATTAAAGACGCAAGCTTGAACAAATCAGACGTCGAAGGCAACGCCCAAAACTACCAATATAACTACAACTTTTAAACTCTCACAAGTAAAAATACAAGTAGAGACTCAACTACCAACGAAACACCCAACTCACAAAAGAGTTTATATAATTATTACAATACAAAAAAACTACAAAATGAACCGAAATGACAGAAAGTAGAATCGCCAACGTCGCCACCATAAAAACATAAACACATGTCGAAAAAACACAGATTAAGGGAGTTTTAATAAGTGGGCCCGACATATGCCAGACGTCGAATAAACACAGGGTTCATCACGGATTCCAAAAGGAGAATTGGGGCGTGTCCTTTCAAATTGTCATTGTGCAAAATATTTGAGACTTGAACAACAAATGACAAACACTTCAATACAATCCTATGTGTAAGAATTTTTATTTATTTTTAGATATTTAATTCATAAACAATACAATAGTCAAATTTATCATTATCATTTCTTTTTTTTAATTCATCTTTTGTTAATTTGGGCTCTTTTAATTCGTTTTGTTATTTTTCTTATGTGGAGGTAGGCCTCCACTTTGCCACATCACCCACTAAGATTGGTGGGTAAATAGCCCACATGTATGCAATTATTTAAACACTTTTGCCACATCATCAAATTTGACAAACTTTTGCATGAAATTGACGGCAGAGGGCAATGTGGAACATCAAACCTTGGTTAAGGAGGCAAAGTGAGCCACTTTGATAAAGTGAGAGATTAGGCTTACTTTTTTCTTTTTCTGTTGAAAAAAATTGGAGAGATTTGGGGGTTAAAGAAGTTGAAAATGGTGAAAGGTATGCTTCTTGGGAAAGATCATCGATTGGGGTTTGATAGCAAGGGCATTACAATACAAAAAATCAACAAGATGATCAAGAAAGGAAAAAAACTGTAAAATCAAAAATTTATCCATTGCAATCCATAATGTGAAGAGTAAAAATTTATTTCACTATCTACGAAATAGGATGAAGTGCAATCAAATTCTTGTAGGTTTGTCAATAATGATCAATTGAACCACATCGTGAACACTTAGGAATTGACAGTAAAATGAGGCGAACTCACATCTAACCTTAAAATCAACCCTGAAAAAGTTCTTTTGCAAATCTCCAAATAAACGTCAATTCAATTAAAAGCTTGAGCATCAGTCTCCCTCCTTTGGAAAGAGCAACCCTAAGTGAGCCAGGCAAGTCCACCAGTGGGCTGCCACAAGATCACTTGGCAATTCCTGCAGATCAAATGAATGTAGTTTGGTGGCAAATATGATCAGTTCTTGACTACATGGTATGGTTATGGGCTCTAGCCCAGATAGCCCACTATGGAGATCCGTGCCCGTGACATGGATAGATAAAAGGAGAGAGAAAAAGATGTCCACATCATCAGTCATTGAACAAAATCCTTCTTGTCCGAATTTAATCATGTTGTCGTCCTAATTGAATTATGTTAATTGACGAATCACATGGCACAGTCTATGATTACTTGGGACTTTATAAAAGCGAAATTGTTCCCCCCCCCCCATGAAAAGCAGAGAAAAATCCTTACCACAACTCCTTTTTATACAGACCTTAACTTCCATATACATACCACAAATAATAAATAAACAGTTGGTGTTTGTGGTGTACAAAAAGAAATTCTTTCTATTGACAAACAAATCAATTGCAGACCTGAAACTGTGGCCCCCCCCTTCCTTCATCGATCTCCTCTTGCTCTTCTTGTTTTAGCATTTAGTTTGTCTGTGACCACTCAAGGGAAGGGTGGGGGCCCACATCCTAACAACCACCAGGAAAAGAGTAGAAAGAGTAGTGAAGTTGGAGCAACCCCAACTCCTTTTTGATGCCATCTAAAATCATTACAATGCCGCACTCAACTCAACCAAGGCACGCTTGAGAAGTCTCAGTAGTACTTCACCATTAAGCCGTTAACCGCAGACACATTTTCATGCATTAGCCATTAATCGATGAGCAAGCAAATAAGATTATCTAGGCCTTGTTGTTCAATTTTATGTATGCGTTGTCCTTGGAGTATTAATATTGTTCATGTGGGCAGGCTCAGGTTGAGGTTGAGGTTGAGGGAACTGCTGTTCCTGTACATTGCCAATGGTTTCGAGCTCGAATTGCTTGATGGTGGATGCCAGCTTCTTCATGTTGTCGTCGTAGACGTACGGGAGCTTATTGAACCATGTGACGTTGTTCTTGGCCGACATTGGCACCAACTCCCTGCAGAGCTCACCCTGTACGGTTATAGAATTATGGTAGTGATAATAACGGATCTTAGTCTCTGTGTCGTGCAATGTTTTTCCAGTCACATTCTCGGACATGTGTACTCCCGTCGAGAAGGCGTTCTTTGCCTGAATTGCATACTTTCTGTCCCGACGGAGCCCTGTTCTCGAGTCCCTGAATAGCAGCTTCTCGAACCCCCATTGCCTGAATCATAATTCAACTCAATTCAATTCTACATATATCTCAGCAGTTACAAAGCAACATTGCCATAGCATATATAATACATTTGACTAAAAACTATAGCAGAGAATTCCCAACTGTCCCTTTGAAACTTGTAATTTAACAATTGGTCAAATTTTATCCATTCTACTTACTTAATAAGTAATGAAATAGGCAGGCAGGCAGGAACTGGGAAATTAAAAGAAATTGAAGCAAATGAATTTGTGTGATAAAAACAAAAAGATGGAATTACCTGGAATAATCTTGGGTGGGATCGTTGAGGCAGAGCGCACTGGACATTGGATTCTGCTCAATAGTGAATTGGGTATAATCGGAGAAGTCACTGAGAACAGATTCCAAACTGTTGCCATGGGGCAAATATATGTACTCATCCACATCGAAGTAAAAAGTCCAGTTGGCAGCGTATCTGTACCTATGGAGGCAGTCATTGACCACCAAGAACTGGTTGTAGTAATAGCCGTCGAACTCCGCCTGAGCCCTGATGTCCTGCATTGTCACCCTCCCGGCCCTCACCCACGGATCCAGTACTGCCCTTGCCTCATCCGACACCCCACCCGCGTCGTGGAACACGAAATGCGACTTCTCTCCGAAGAACCACGCGTGATATGCCATCCATTCCCTCAGCCTCGCCGCACTCAGGTCCCCGTACAGAGACGACCCGCAATACAAATACTCGTACTGGTAAGGTGGGCGGTACTTGGACTCGTTGTAAGCCCCCGGAGCTTCCTCCAATGCCGTGAACTTCTCCATCTTTCTGGGATTTTCGCCGTAGTAGGCGTTGATGCTGAGCTTGCCGCCCGAATTGTCGTGGTTGGGATTGACGGGGAAGGTGCAATTGACGACGACGACGGTGTAGACGCGGCCGTAGCCCCAATCGGGGAGCATCTTGTAGGCCAAGGCGCGAGTGGAGGAGCCGTTGGAGGAGATCCACTCGCACTTGAACCAGGGGCGGCTGTAGACGTGGATGGGCTTGGAGGCGAGGCCTACCACGGCGAATGTGGTGGGGCCGCCGCGGTAGGCCCCCATTTGGACGAAGAGGGCGGCGGCGTTGCCGTATGACTGAAAGACGCGCTTGTTGGGGTCGTTGGGTTTTGGGGTGGAAAGCTTCTGCTCTGTCACTGATGGGTTAATTGAAGAAGAAGAAACAGCTCGCAGAGATGCATTGGCAGTTAATGCAGTGGCGGAGGAGGAGGAGGAGGAGAGGAGGCTTTGGTAGTAGGGAGGGAGGTTCCAGATGAGCATGACGAAGGTGAGAGCAAGCAATGTGAGCACCAACGGCTTTCTCTCGAAGCAGCTGCCGAATAGTTTAGCGACGGGGCCGACGGGGACGGAGGATGGTGGGCCCTCCTTCCTCATTGCTTGGGTTGGCTAATTCTGTGTCGGTGGTGGTGGCTGGTGGCTGGTGGTGATGGTGGAGTTTAGGCTTTTGGCAGATGGATCGATTATAATATAACGGTAATACTACTCTCCTATACTCGTATACTAGTAGCAATAATAGAATTATAGAAGAGAATAAAGAAATATCGAGAGAGAGAGAGAGAGAGAGAGGAAAGAGAGAAAATGAAAAGAGAAAGAGGGTCAAATTGGGGTCCCAATAAACCATGATGACTCTGAGCCTGTCTGATCCGGCTAAAGAGACACTTCTTCTCTCTCTCTCTCTCTCTCTCTCTTCTTTATGTAGCCTGAACAACTTTAGAGTAATCTAATATAGAGATTCAAACACAAGGAGGCATGTTTACTGTCGTGATGAATTGACCTAACCTAAATCCGCAGTTCCTCATTTGATAGGGGATTGTTGGCGGTGCCTTGTGATTGGCTATAACAATACATAAATGAGTTATGTATAACAGCCCCCGGCTTCCTATTCAACAACAGCTGTCGCAGATTTATAAACTCTTATAATAAAGTTGAAGTGGAGAAATTAATGTGATATGAATATGATTGGCTCCAAGCTCCCAAGAGAAGGAATTAAGTTATTTATCTTCTTCATTCTTTAACCATATATTATACACATTAGAAATGAAAAGAAAATTAAAAAAAGACCCCATGCATTACATGCAAGTTGTAATAAGTAGACGTTACCATCCATTTTCCATTCCATACATTGAGCCATAAACTACGCATAAATATATATATATATATATATAAATAATTTATGCATATGCGCTATTGCTTCAACCACTAATCATTGCAGTTATTGTTCATAATATTCTTCGGTTACCAATTTGCCAATTTATTGCCAGTTTATTGCCAGTTTGCCAGTTTGTAAAAGAAAAAGCCAAAGTAAGATAAATGATTGGGCCATTACTTAATTTTGGAACAACCTACCACTCACACACATTAGTTTCCAAGGGAAGGAAGCCAACTCCACTTTACCATCTGTTTTGACTTGTAATTGCAATTTACAATCAAGACAAACCAACAATCCTCTCGATATTGGTATCTAGCGATGCATACGCCGCCAGATATCAGATTCTCCCAAATCAATTCATCGCCCGACAACTAATACTAATACATGTTGCGTTGCACTGTTACTGTTAGGCAGAGCAAGCAGCTTCTCCTCCGCCTTCTTTTCTATACCTTATTTTCTCCTTGAATTATGGTTATGACCATGTATACTAAATAAATCATTCCACCTTTATCTAATATGTTTCTTCATTTATTAAGGAGTTGCAAGATGGGAAAGGATTATGTATGTAATCAAGGGAGGAACCATGAATTTTACTTATATTTATTAGCTAAATATTTAGTGATCATTTTTTTTTAACTTACAATTTCTAGTTGATAAGTGCATTATTTCCTATATTTTTATACCTCTTTTATTTGGTTTTTGTAGGGAAAGTTAATTAAAAAGAGCATTATTACCTTACTTTCCTTATTTTCAGCGATTCTGCGCTCTTGGAAGGATTTCAACTGAAAATCAACTTTTCGAATGAATTTTAGCACAAGGCCAATTGGAGAAGAAATCTAAGGCATTGAAGATCATTGTATCAAAGTTTCATAATTTTCTACCAAGCCAAATGCTCCAGACTTGCAAGTCAAGACAGCCTAAGTTGAAATCCCGTCAGAACTGCACTGCTGTGGAAGATTGAAGATTTGAAGACCTTTCCGATTTTTCCTAGTGGCGTGTAATATATGCTTGGAAAGCTTAGATATAAAGCTACGTTTCTGATTTTTTTCCAGAATTTTCTAGGAAGTGGAACGACCCCAAAACGTGAGTGCAAGATGGCTGACGTGTTTCCAAGTCAAAGAAGGATTCTTTCCTAATTTGTTTCCTTAATTGTTTGGGATTTTGTTTTACTTTAGGAGAGTTTTTCCAGACCTTTTAAGAGTAGGGTTTAGTTGTTTTACACTATATAAGGTCACCCTAAGGATCTCTTTAGAGCATCCTCCCATATACCATACTTTTCCACCAACTTTCATACACCCAGAGAAACATCAGAGAGAGCCAAGGATTTGCTGCTGCCTTGAGGAGCTTTCGAAGGTGTTCCTGTGGAGACTCCGAAGATCAAGTCCATCGGCCAAATCGGTTTTATGACAATAATTCTCTTGTTTATATTTTCTTTTGTCATGAACTAATTTCCCTTGCTAGGGCTACGATGTAGCCTAACCATGAATACTTAATTTTTATAGTTATATTAATTTCTTACACCCAGAGAAACATAAGAGAGAGCCAAGAATTTGCTGCTGCACTATTTGAGGAGTTTTCGAAGGTGTTCCTGTGGAGACTCCGAAGATCAAGTCCATCGACCAAATCGGTTTTATGACAATAATTCTCTTGTTTATATTTTCTTTTGTCATGAACTAATTTCCCTTGCTAGGGCTACGATGTAGCCTAACCATGAATACTTAATTTTTATAGTTATATTAATTTCTTATTACTATTCCATGTTGAGTATTTGTTACTGTTCTTAATGCTTTGAATATCTGGCCAATATTTAATTGATTTGATGATCCAAGCGGAGACCGAGAGGAGATGTTTGGTGTTTGCTTCTTGTAACAAATATCATGTCTTGAATGAGTGCCCGAGAGGGACTAACATGACTCGTGCAGTTTTCTTGCAGGTTCTCATAGAACTTAATGGGTTCTTGATTTTCTAAATCTGTTGCTCGAGAGAGAATGAGTTGTTAATTAAGAATACTTTTGGTTGAGCCCGAGAGGGGATATCAAATGAATTAGGAGAAACCAACTATCAACATGGATAGTAATTAGGGTTAATTGGCTATAAGAATGAAGTGGAATTGGTTATGGTGAAATCGGATGCTCTAGTGTCTCATCATCTTAATTTTCTATCATTAATTAAATTGCTATTTTTCATAATTGTTTTAGGTTACTTAAATCAATCAATCTTCTTAATCAATTGTTCAGATAAACTTTTGAATTAATCATAATTGGTAATTAATAGGACATTACAGTCTTCGTGGGAACGATACTCTACTTATTTCTATATTACTTGTGCGAATTGTGCGCTTGCAATAATTTCACAACACTAGTCTTTGTAAAAATAAAAGTGTACATTAAATCGTATAAACCACGTTAGTTTATAGCTCAATTGACTAATTTCTAATCATTTAAAAAAATATTCTTTGGATACAAGCGATATTGGGGGAGAGAAAATTGAACCTTAAACAAGGGTAAATGGTCTTAACTATTTGAGTTACAAGCCCTTTGCAATTTCCAATAAGCTTTAACTTAAGACAAATACATATTAAATGCAACCAAAAATCATATATTATCAAAATGAAAATATGTTCAACAACAGAATTGAAAGTGTACTTATTTTAATGTGTATTTTTATTGTGGCCCTACAACTAAATTCATAAAGACCAAAAGTGACTTTTGGTCCCTATAGTTTGGCACTTCAACCTCTTTTGACCATGTAGTTTCAATTCCATCAATTTTGTCATTGTAGTTTCGTATTTGTAGTAATTCAAGAACAAGTTAGTATTATTGTCAATTTCTTTGACGGTGCAAGAGACAATTTCGTCGATCCAAAACCCTTGAGCGTAAAAGCTTGTCTGAAACTCCCCCCATTTCATATTAGGGCTCGAAATTGGTGACGAAATGTATAACTTGTACAAATCTTTCCATTTTCCAATTCGATATGATCCATTCGTTTATAGAGCTATGTACTCAATCGCAAATATTTCTCGAACACTTCTAACAGAGGGACAAATAGTAAATTTTGAAAGTACTTATTGTCAATCTCTTTCATATATGAATATGTCTGATTCAGAAGGGAAGAACTTGCTTTGACATGATACAAATATCTAAATTATTTTTAGATACTTTTCAGACCTATTGCCACTACTAAGTGGCAAAATGTGTATCCATTTTTCATGATATTATGCATGGATCAGATATACCATGACAAATTCTTCAGAAAATATTGTGTCATTCACAATGGAATTTAATAAGTGATATTTCGAGTAAATGTTTATATAATCATTTTCTATCCGAAGAAATGATTCATCGAAATAATGAGTTATCATTAATATTGACACATCTGATGTAAAATCCCACATCGACCAACGGAGAGGCGCTCGGATTAGAAGTTAAACTTAAACAGGCGCACTCCTCATTTATTCACCCAATCAACTCATCCTTAAACGCACGGTAAACCGTGCTGGCACGCCTGTGCACAACCACACGGCACCAAAGAAGGACGACCCGTGTTGACGTAGATCCCCTCGGCCCGGAGCACCAGGTCGTGAGATTTGCGAGGCCAACACCAAGGTAATATCACTGCTAGTTTCCTATGACATCCAATTTCTAATGCATGTCTACCTCTGTAATGTTCCAGTCTAGGGTAATAACATTGTTAGTTTACTGTCATGTTGATTAATGGTTGCAGTGTTCCAGTTTAGGGTAATAACACTACTAGTTTCCTATGACATCATATTTTTAATGCAAGTCTACCCCTGTAATGTTCCAGTCTAGGGTAATAACACTGCTAGTTTCTTATGACATCCTATTTCTAATGCATGTCTACCCCTGTAATGTTCCAGTCTAAGGTAATAACATTGCTAGTTTACTGTCATGTTGATTAATGGTTGTAGTGTTCCAGTCTAGGGTAATAACACTGCTAGTTTAATGTCATGTTGATTAATGATTGTAATGTTCCAGTCTAGGGTAATAACACTGCTAGTTTCCTAAAACATCCTATTTCTAATGCATGTCTACCCCTTGTAATGTTCCAGTCTAGGGTAATAACACTGCTAGTTTCCTATGACATCCTATTTCTAATGCATGTCTACCCCTATAATGTTCCAGTCTAGGGTAATATCACTGCTAGTTTCCCATGACATCCTATTTCTAATGCATGTCTACCCCTATAATGTTCCAGTCTAGGGTAATATCACTGCTAGTTTCCCATGACATCCTATTTCTAATGCATGTCTACCCCTATAATGTTCCAGTCTAGGGTAATATCACTGCTAGTTTCCCATGACATCCTATTTCTAATGCATGTCTACCCCTATAATGTTCCAGTCTAGGGTAATATCACTGCTAGTTTCCCATGACATCCTATTTCTAATGCATGTCTACCCTTGTAATGTTCCAGTCTAAGGTAATAACACTGCTAGCTGACTATCATGTTGATTATTGCTTGTCATGTTGCTATTTCTAATACATGTCCACCAAAGAAAAGATGAAGAAAGAACAAACCAGACCAACTCAAAACAAGCCGAGCCCAGATTGTTAATACTATTATGTCATAGAAGTACATTGTTAATACTCTGTCATAGAAATACATTGTTAAACAAAAATGAGATTCATAACTGAAATAGCAATAAAAGATAAATCAATCATCAAAGCTTAAAATACATTCCGAAAATAAACTAAAATCCGAAGAGAAACACATAATTGAACCAAAAAAATCAAAAATCTCAAGTCCAAACCAAACGACGACGACGACAACGACAACGATGACAATGATGACGACGACGACAACGATGACAATGATGACGACAACGACAACGACGACGTGGCAAAAGAGGAGTAGAGCTTGCAGATGAGGAGTAGAGCTAAGAGCATCTGATCAAGGTTCGTTCGAGGTTCCGAACAATCCGAAAAAAAAAAAATGAATAGAAGCACGATTTTAGAACAAGAAATTGAAGGTGAAATATTGAAAATTGTAGATAAGAGATGAAGAATATAGTTGGACATGAGACTGAGCTTCAATAGAAGCTCCTCTCGCTCCAACACCGAGAAAGGAGAAAATGAATCTAATTTGGTTTTTTGGTAGATTTGGTTTCTTGACATATTTGGTTTTTTGGCAGATTTGCTTTCGTTTTTTGGTAGATTTGATTTTTCTCTCTCAAATCCATAGTACAAGGGTAATATAGGTATTTTACACACAAATAAACTAAAATATAGCTATTAAATTGAAAAAATCGACAACCGTTGATTTTTTGGGTTTTTTTTGTTTTGTTTTTGTTTTTTTTTGTTTTTGTGTTTATAGTTTTTAAATGGTATAGGGTTTCTTTATCAGACTATGTCTAAAATTGGGTATATAAGGCCATCCCCAATGGGGGCTCTATTTGGGGCTCAACCACCACAAGGCTCCCGCATATACAAACTTTCCTCAAAAAGGCATCCCCAATGGTGCAAATTTGGGGCTCTAAAACTTGAAGCCCAATCGGAGTAGTAGCTAAATGTATGTACTTGGTTGAAGCCCTTGAAACCAAGTGGGTCCCTCAAGGAAAAAGGCTGCAGCCCAACTTTTTTGCTTTCTCACTTGCCTTGCGATCGTACAAGGCCATACTTGCCATTTTTTGGTTTTGTCAACAGCATGTTGACCCAGCATGCTAAACCAATTTTTCAAAATCTGTGTAAACAGCTATATTGTTAAACCACTTTTTCAAAGCCAACAAATATAAACTACTACATTAATGTCCAATGGCTATACAGGGCCATATTGTTTCTTTTTTTTTTTTTTTCTTTAAAAAAAAAATGATTTGCAACTCAATTCTTCCTATAAATATCCACCATATCTCTCATAATTTTTACACACCACAACATCTTTATCACTCTTGATCAATTTGTCAAATTTTTTCACTCACTAGATTATTTAATTTTTTGTAATTTTTATGTTAATCTCTTATTTTAATTTAATCATGTTGTATCGTATCTATGAAATAAATGTTGATTTCCAAATCTTGTCCAAATTTTGATTTTTTTTGTTTGAAATGTTCACAACAAAAAAACAAAAAAACAAAAAAACAAAAAACAAAAAAAACAAAAAATAAAAAACTAATATAACATGAACAAACATTAAAGTAAAATAGTTAACCCAAAAAAAAAACCCACATAAATCAAATTACATCATAAAAAATATATAGAGCCCGCTATGAATATAGGGCCTCCCATTGAGGGAGTGATTCCTTTAGAGCCCCAAAGATTCCATCGGAGTTCTAAATGGGGCTCTATAAACCCTTTTTAGAGCCCCAACCATTGGGGATGGCATAACAAAATTTGTATTTAATTATTTACTTCCAATATATCTAAACATAAATAAGTTTAAAAAATCTGAAATATGAAAAATGAGGGCAATTTGGGGTACAAAAAAGACTCATTCTGATTCATCCCTACCCAATCCTACCTCCTAATTCCCAGGAATTGGACTCATGATTTTATGTGGGGCCCGCGTTGCCTTGTTTTTTTTTTTTGCCTTTCTTTCCCATCATGCAAATAACCCTTGTTTGTACATTGGTCTAGCTGATTGCCTGTTTCAAAGACTGTTACGCCCCTGCATTGAAGGATCTTGTGTGTTCTGTTGATACTTTCTAGGTTGGTTTAAATGAGGCTTTCCCCATCCATCAAAAGAAAGGGGAAAACAAAAAAGCTAATATCAGTAACTACACACTTTTTTCGGTATAAAAATAGTTCTATGGACCAGAAATTACAAAAGTACAGGGCAAGTATGTCAGAGAACAGTCAGGATTGGAAACTCCTGTAGACAAAATGTCATCTTAAGGCATTATAACAAGCCAACCAAACTAACACACAAAGTAAACAGAATCTTAAAATACCATTTTTTTTGGGGGGGGGGGGGGGGTGGGTGTCCTCTTGTCTCAATTTCCCACGCAAAAAGTTGCAACAGAAATAAAAAAGATAACATCATAATAACACATGAAGGGATTGTTTTGTACAAAATCTTTGATCTAAACAATATGGCAAGAAGGAAAAGAAGGGAAATAAAGGCATGATGATCATTCAAGTTCTGCATATAATGCAATGGAATATATTACCTGTCTCCAAATGCTCACTATTTTTCTTTCATTTGAACTACAAGGCAAATATAAACCAAGGATATGTTCAAAGTCACTATTTTTCTACATGATGTATAAAAACAGATAAAAAAATCAATGGAAAAACAATAACAAAATATCCACCTTAAATGCGTTATTGGAATGTATCCCAGAGCCTAATAGTATTATTGCCCAACAAAGAGTGAAGTTCTTTCATCATTAGCTGCCCCATCCGTGAGCATGACCACAAACCCGGAAGTCATGAATCATAACGGACTTATCTTTTCCACTCTACACCTTCCAGTAGAGAATTCTAACATTTGCAATTCAATATACCATATGTAATCTTGAGGCATGTTTCTACTAATTTCTAGCAGGGGCACAAAACCAATCGCTGTCTCACTTCTCCTACCTATGGCCCTGGAAGATACTGGTTACTTAACAATCCTGGCAAACATTCATCTAAGTTTCTGGGTTCTTCAATTGCTTGGGAATTAAATTACCACAACTGAATGTAGTATTTAATGCATAAGATTTTGTAAGAGAGCACCTTAGTGTATCTATGTACTCACTACTCATGATTTTGCAATTGACTTACAATCCAAATTAATCTTCAGTCTTAAATCATCATGTTCCTTTGACCTAGCAAGTTGCATTTGTCTTTGCATGACCAGAAAACGTGGAAAGGGCTACCGAATTCTTTAAGAAACAGCATGCAGTATAGAATGTGTAAGCAATATGGAATCAGAGCCCCACCTAAAAACAATCACATAAAAAGCAAAATTATTAAGAAACTGGTGAAAGATCAGTGAATAACTTATAAGTTTCTATAAATAATAGTAAGAAGACCCTGAGGGGCAAGCCCTAGCTGCCACAGAAACAGCTAGGGGCAAGCTCTAGCTGCACCCTGAACTTGCCTTCATAAGTCAGTTGTATATAATCAGTATCATTTATTGGGGTTGCGAAAAATAGATGCTGACCTCATTAGGAACCTAGAATACCCATCTTTCTGGTTCTTTAAGTTCTACACCATCCAACCATGTTTGATGCATGTGCAGCCAAGTATAAGCATCCGGTACCTCTGACTAGTGAAGCCACAACAGATCATGAGTAAGACAGTTACCACATTAAGATCTCTCCACGTTACCAATTTAACAAGGGACATGATTTTAAAAGGAAGGAAACACCCAGCTAAGGTTGTACCTTTGAACTCATCAGGACTGTAGTCAGAGAGCATTGGAGCTCATCATCTGCAACAATCAATCAATGTCTCATCAATAAAAATCAGTGAAATAAAGAATTTTTAGTTTAAATGACATAATGACAAAGACAATCCGTTATCTAAGGGGCATGGGGAATTCAAAATAACAATTCTATCATTCACGAATTTAGTTGCCCCTTTGATGAGAGTCCAATGAGAGATTTCAAGGAAATGAGCTGAAAAGGAAAATTATTAATCTATTGGGGCAGAAAAAGGAACTCTGCCTAGCTTCAGAACTAATAGAACTCATACACAGGTTGAATAGTAAACACTTTTCATTATCTTTTTCTCTCAGCTTTGATTGATGTTTGGAGATTCCTCCTTTATTCAGATATTTACCTATTGACTAGCCACCATTTTTTATTTGTTGCAACAATTAGCCACCAGTTAAACTAATAGAAACATGTATCACTTTTTCTCCATTCTTTGAATAAATCTACTTATTGTGCCAGAAAGGCAATCTCACCATTCAATTCCCACTTATCAAACTTCACAAGCCATGTGTCTGAGCCAATTTGAGCTGAGGATAATCGATCCACCCATGTCCAAAACTGTTTTCCCTGCTTATCCCCATACGACTTTGCCATTGCATCCATGCACTGGTGGATAGGTAGCTCAACTCCCAAGGGATGGACAAAGATAGCCAATGGGTGCTAGAGAATTGGAGAAAAATAGCAAAACCAGAATGAGAAAGTAAGCAATCTACCAAAACACAACTGCAACAGCACCAAAATATTCTGTCAACTTCTACAAAGTACAGAAAGCCACCCCACCCCAAAAAAAAAAAAGAGAAGAAAAGATTAGCACTTCAAGATCTGATAATTCAACCAAATCTCTGAGACCGAAGCCTCGTCAGCTTTAGGTTAATTGTAAGGGAAGGTGGAGTCGATCATAAGTGGAAGTTCAAATATTGTCAAGAAAAGAAAGTTTTTAGCGTATTCAGAATTGAAAGCTGTTAGGGAAACATAGCAAAATCCTTAACAGTACAAATTTCATTCTCTAAAAGCATAAATCTTCCATATAAGTTGGCAAGCATAAAATGGTCGTGCAAAGATTCCAGTAATAAAGATTTAAATCAAAAACTCCAGAAAAGAAAACATATCCGAACTATCTGCGGTCATTCCCAGTCTAGGGTCATATTACTAGCTAATCAACTGCATTCATGGCTACTGGTCTAACCTTTCCTTTTTCACTTTTCGGTTTGGTCATTCATCATTAATCACATTTTTTCACATACATTCATTAATCAGCACTAAATCTTCAACTCCTGCAGCATCGGGTATTACTACAGCATTGCAACCTTCGTTGCACGTGACCAAGACACCCTGAATTTTCAAGACTAAAAGTTTAGGTTGAAAGAATTCAGGTGCTTGGAGAATTAAAAGACCAAATGACACGTCAAGACTGTTTTTAAGTTTTGCATATAGAAAGAGAAAAAACATTAGAAATGACACTTACAAAGACCGATTTAAAGTTTTGAAAATACTGCTCAGATTTCTCCACTTTTGCACGCCGCCATCTCTCATAAAACAAATAGAACTTTACAACCTCATGTGCAGGACTAAAATTCTTCACTTTGCACTTTTGGAAATCTTTGATATCTCTTGGAGATACATTTGGACCCAGATGAAAATTTCCAATGGCTTGTATTATCCCAGCTGCACATCTCTCTGTTGCATGAAGTATATTGGGATTTCTGTGTGCATTTTCTGCATACCACTGCAACAATTCTTCTTTTGCATTACTGACCTGCGTGACGTTTGACATCATGACCATACAATTCAAATATTTTCCTTACGAATAATTTAAGAATATTATTATCCAAACAAAACGAACTAGGCAATGTTTATAACTTACAGACCATCACACCATACACTTCAGGAAGACTGAAAAGTTCGGCATCATTTCCAGAGTCACCACAAACCAGAGTGTTGTAGGGAAGCTTCCCCTCAAGTTTGAATTTCTTCAACAAATATGCAAGAGCTTGCCCTTTGCCCGCCCCTTTTGGTAAAACATCCAAAGCAATCCCACTGCTATAAATTATCTTTACATCTAACTGGCCAAATATATATATGAAAATCAGAAACAGGTATCACTGACATTGAGAAAAGATGCATTCAAAAAGCCAGTCCACTTTTATTGAGGGACACCCTTTAGGGTCCCCTACGAATTCTTTTTCAACGATCCAAACAATCTATTTTTTAAGTCTACATCCATAGATCATCCTTGCAAAAAATTAGAAAAATCGGAAACCATTTTGACATCCAATTGTGTCCTACAAAATCAATGAATACGGTACTTCAAGAAAATACTAAAATTTAAATATTTCAATTGAGTGGTCAAATTATATTGGATTCAAGTGATTTTTTATAGTTATGATCTCTGAATGAATATCTACAAAATAGACAGTTTGGTTTAGTGAAATACAATACAAAGTGGGCCCTACAAGGGTGTCCCTCAAATAAGCTTATTTGAGGGATCCCTCAACTGAAGCTCCCTATATATATATATATATATATATATATATATATATATATATATATATATATATATATATATATATATATATATATATATATATATATATATATATATATATATATATATATATATATATATATATATATATATATATATATATATATATATATATATATATATATATATATATATATATATATATATATATATATATATATATATATATATATATATATATATATATATATATATATATATATATATATATATATATATATATATATATATATATATATATATATATATATATATATATATATATATATATATATATATATATATATATATATATATATATATATATATATATATATATATATATATATATATATATATATATATATATATATATATATATATATATATATATATATATATATATATATATATATATATATATATATATATATATATATATATATATATATATATATATATATATATATATATATATATATATATATATATATATATATATATATATATATATATATATATATATATATATATATGTATTGAGTAGTATCAGTGAGAAATATAAGAAACAATTTTCAGTAAGAGTCTGTCAGTAGCACTTTAAAATGAAACTGTCAATGCTCTAGCCATGAGGTTTATGAAGAAAATAAAATGTACTCTTACCCCACGTTTCTCCAACCGTTGTGATAAAACATTCATTATCTCCGATGCCACAACCTTCTCTACATAAAAGCTAACCTTGTGAGGTCGTTGCTCTCCCTCTTCCTGCAATAATCTCATATATGGGGACATCAAATTTCGAAATCCATACAAGTCTTTACCTTTAACTGGTAAATATAAGAACTAATATCTTGCTCACACTAGTTACAATGCGGGAATCATGACCCTTCTTTGCTTCGATTCGATACATCACATCAGCATGCCACATTATGTATCTAAACTAGGGGTTACCGAACTGATCTCACGAAACCGACTACCGACGTATTGTATAAATCGGTCCTAATCTAAACACCCTTTGCTTTTGCTTGCACTCATGGGTCCCACATAGATACTATTTGATTAAATTCGGTTGTGCTTGAATTTTCAACACCATCCTACAACAAATTTCTAACATAATGGCCCCAAAACAACCGACTAGCTATGGGTTTAGGGTATTTCTCTTTCCAGTGTCGAGGTCCAAAGTTTAATTGCCCCCTTAAAAATGGTGCAAAAAAATAATAATAATAATAACCTTAGCAAAGGAAAAGTACCTGAGGAGTAAGTTGAGGAAATTTATTAGTTTCCTCAACAACAATGTCTCTATCCCACTTGTGATTCAGATGTTGCTTCCACCCATCATCAGGAACCATAGCCTCACCATAACCATACATAATCTCAGTTCCCACAGACATGATTGTTATATCAGGCGTTAGCAAGGGTTTCTCATTCCTCAATGGTTTGTAAGTGATTGGTGATCTTCCGGTTGAAAATACCAGCAGAGAATCATGGCGGTAATTTGCTTCCCACAGCGCGTTGAACCTCAGAAGTGACAGATTTTCAGGCTCATCATGATCCACCTGAAAAACAGTATCAGAATCACAAACCCATTTGTTTTTCTCTCTCTTTTTAATTATTGTTATAGGAAATAAAGCATTAGCTAATGAAGGAATGTAAGTGTGAAAGTTTACCATGGTGTAATCAAGATCTGAGACTAGCATGAGACGAGCAGAGCCATTGAGACGAGAGTTCATGTGGGTTTGATTGGATTGGGCGCCGTGGCTCACAGAGTTCTGTATTTTTACACAATTAGACAAGAGATTCATCGCTCTGTTGGTTGAAATTGAACACATAATCTGTACAGATCTTTGTCAAAGAGGAAAACACCAAACTTTATCCTTCCAATATTTAATAAATTCAAGGTTAAAGTGTTGCTTCCCTGAATTTCAATTTGCCCTCTGTTGTAAATGATGGATGGCACCCATTGAAAATGGGGTGAAATACCATGTTTTACGGAAAGTTGAAGACTTGTAAGCTTAGTGCCTTAACGGCAGGAGTTCGAAACTCGTTGGAAGCACTTTGTGGCTAGGAGCAAGCCAAACCCCGAGCAGAGATTAATCCCACAATTCAGGTTTGGGGAAACCTCGTGGTATTTACCAAAAAAAAAAAGGAAGAAGACTTATAGGCTTAGTCACTATTCACAAATAGTAAGAAACAATTATGAATTAATGTTGTAGAGTGAATGCTTTAGTTACGAAGCATATATCATCTGCCTATAAATAGAGGCAATCTTCACTCTTTTAAGAGACACCAATCCGAACAGAAGAGAGAGAGAGAAATCTGAGAGTTAGAAAGATTTATTTGAGTGAGAAAATTCTATCAGTGTAAAACCACAATAGCAAATACAATTCCACCCTAATGCACGATAGTTTCTTTTCTTTCCCTTTAATTTTTTTCAGCTAAACACTGTGGTTATTTCTCTATCTCCTCTCTGTCATATGTCTACTCTCATTTTACTACGATGACGACATGCAAACTTTCTTTTTTGTATTCTCACAATTTTTATGTTGTTTCATTCATGTTTGTTTAATTTATTTTTTCGTACTGTAATTTGGAACGACGCGGTTTTATCCCCCATCCTATTATTATATGGTGGTGTAGTTCCATTGCCCATCACGTTGTAACATGTATTATTGTAATAAAAAGAGTGGTGTGATTTTAAAACCCATCTTATTAAATCTTAGTGGCACAACTATATTGCCCACAATATGATAATTTATTCTATACTGGATATATAAATACCACAATGATATACACAACTTGGACGATGCAATTAAGCATCTGTACCAGTGTGTGAAGTGATAAACCCAATAAATAATATTTTATTAATATGCCATTTAATTGTATTATTTTATTGTACTTTATTTATATGAAAAAAAATAATAATTAGTCAATATGTATGAACAATAGGGCTTGAAGTTCCTCAAACAATTAAAGGACCTGAAGTTCCTGTTAAGAAATGGCTTAATGTCCCAGATCTCGAACCTGAAGTTTCAGGTAAATTTGCAAAATATTTTTGGCATGAAATTCAAAAATAAAATATTGTTGAGAACCTGAAGTTCTAATAAGGTGCAAATAGATCATTGCAAATTCTGACACATTTTATTTTCTTTTGAAGATAGCAAACTTAGCAAAGCTGGAATTTGATGCTTTGGACATATCTGGGAATAACTATCTGTCATGAGTCCTAGATGCCAAGATCCATTTGTAGGCCAATAGCCTTGGAAAGACCATTGTGGATGGAAGTGATGCATCCCCAGAAGAAAACGCAAAGGCCATGATATTTCTTCGCCGTCACATCCATGAAGAGCTGAAAAGTGAATATGTGGCGGTTGAAAACCCATTGGTTTTGTGGAAAGCCTTATGCAAAAGGTACAACCACCAAAAGACAGTGATCCTCCCGAGAGCCAGATATGAGGAGACAAACTTGAGATTCCAAGATTTTAAGTCAATGTCTGAGTACAACTCGGTGATGCACATAATTACCTCCCTGATAAAGTTATGTGGGGAGAATATCTCTGAGAATGATATGCTTGAAAAAACCCTCAGTACTTTTCATGCCTCAAATGTGCTATTGCAGCAGCAATATAGGCGTAATGGTTTTACGAAGTACTCAGAGCTGGTATGTTGCCTCTTAACCGAGCAGAATAATGAGCTCATGTTGAAAAATCACCAATCTCGACCAACAGGCTCAGCACCATTCCCTAAATTGAATGTTGCATCTCAAGAAATGAATGCCACCTCCTTTCGCTGCAGTACCCATAGACGTGGGTGAGGAGGCAAGCGTGACCGCTGGCAAGGGAATAGAAAAGATCATAGTGCCCATTCATATGGCTTGGGTCCAAAGAGCTATCCAACCAACCACGAGCAGAAAAAATGCATCTTGAAATAAGGGGAAAGCTCAGACAAGCCATATGCCTAGAAATGTTAAGGGCGCTTGTCACAGATGTGGCGTAAAGGGACATTGGGCAGGTACCTGTAGTACACTGAAGCATTTGGCGGATCTTTATCAATCTTCATTTAAGGGTAAAAAAGTGGAGACAAATTATATTGATCATGTTGATCCAATGGATATACCAGATCCACCAACCACACATGACCCATTGGAAATATTGCATTAGTCAAACATGACACATCTATATATTTTTGACTTTATAATTGAAAGGGGGAATGAAGTTTACGGGTCCAAATTAGATTAAATCCCCTTATGTGCGATATCCATTATCTAAAGTATTGTTTTTAATTTTCATTTCAATTCAATAAAAGTGGCAGTGTTTTTCCTTTACATTGAATAATTGTTTATTGATTCAGCTTATTTTATTTATTTGAAGGCATGGATATAAATGATGGATGTTCCCAAAACAAGAACACTGGCAAAGATATTTGTCTCACAGACAGTGTGACTACTCACACGATCCTTCAAGATCGAAAGTACTTCTCAAACTTGATGTTTACAAAAGCAAATGTAACAACCATATCAGGTCTTATAGATCTTATTGAAGGCTTAGGAACATCCCAAGTTATGTTACCAAATAGAACAATACTATCCATTCAAGATGCTTTAGTATTTGGTTAATGGAGTTATGAAAATGTGCTATCGGATTGGTTTCGGCTTTTACATTGTGACTTGAGAATTATGGAAAATACGTAGTTATTATTATTATGGCTATTATTAAAGTATATGGTTTGGGTGATATAGGGTTCAATTATGAAAGTATTTTATGGAAATTGCATGTGTACGCAAGCTTTGATTATTATTTGAATGATATTTTGGGTCTTTATGGAATTTATGCTTTTGAGAGTTTATTTTTTATACTATGAATAAATATTTGGGTACATTGGAATATTGAGAATTTGGAGAAATTGAATTAAGGGAGGGTATATTATTTTATATTATATTATATATATATATATGGGTTTGTGAATCTCACCTTCATATGTACCTTCCCTGGTTACTATACCCACACATGGTGTTGGATTTTCCGGCATGTGGGCTCCCTTGTATATTGGTTACCGTCACTTTACCACACGTGGCGTTGGATTTTCCAGCGTGTAGTAAAGGTCTGGGCACCTTTGGTCAGGTGTGCCGTAGGCCCTTGGCTGGGCAGTCTACGCGCGTAGGACATGGTTTGGTTTGGCCACACGTGGTGTTGGATTTTCCGGCGTGTGTGCTGTAGAGCGATAGTCCCCTAGTTGGACAGCTCATCCCTAGACGTATGATAGAAAGTTGAAACCCTGTGGGCTAGTCAAATAATCCCCGTGTTGGATTGTTTTCTCCCGGTATATGATGTGTACTATGATATGTACTTTCCCTAGTTACGTAACCCACACGTGGCTTTGGATTTTCGGCTGTGTGGGCTCACTTAGTCACTATCACTTTACCACACGTGGCGTTGAATTTTTCGGTATGTGATAAAGATCCAGGCACCTTTGGTCGGGTGTGTCGTAGGCCTTCACAAGTAGTCTGCGCACGTATGACTTAGATTGGCCACACGTGGCATTGGATTTTCCGATAGTCCCCTGGTTGGACGGCTTGTTCCCTAGCCACATGGTTATTGAGGAATCTTCCATGTGGTCTAGTCAAACAATTCCCCGGTTGGATTGTTTTCCCCTAGTACATGATGATGGTGTGGGTGTGTGTGTGTATATATATATGTGGATTTGTTTTTGGGTTGGGGTTTCTTGAGCATGTGCATGGTGAGTGCTCTGCACAGGTGTGATCATTGTTATGATGTATGGACAGTGTTGTTTTGCAATATACGCCTTGGATAGGGTATGGTTACGAGAAAGAAATGATTTTGGAAAAGTAATTTGAGTTTTAGAGTAAATTGTTAGTTTTAAAAGAGTTATGCATTGTATATGTGAGTTTTTACGGGGAAATGGTTTTGAGTTATGAATCATGTGAAGAAAGGAATTTATAAAATATTTAGTTATATGCCTTGTGGAAATTAAAGTTGAGAATGAATCTAAATTTAATTGTTGGTTTTACTTGGACAATATCTATATATTTTCTTAATTGTGATCCTTTTTAGTTGGAAGAACTACGTGTGGTTTTAACCCTCATTAAGTGTACATAGGCAACCTGGGTTCACCTAGGTGCAGTCGCAAATTGATATGTTTGAGTTTTGTTTGATCTGTTATAGTACATTGTATTAAAGGATTGTTTATGAGGCCGGAGGCCCATTGTAATTTCTATGTGCTACTGCATTGTGTGTGCTGGCAATTGGTTGTTATTATGTTGTTTTTGATAGGTGGAAATTTGGTAAAGTCCATTTTCCAGGGGAGACATTGCCGAAATTTCAGTAGGAGTCTCGGTCCCTTTTTTTCCCTAGTTTCGGAGAAAGGGACTATTTTTAGTAAATGGGCCTGATATCGATTAGATGTCGAAACAACCACGGGGTCCGTCACGGATTTCGAGGGGGAATCCAGGTCGGGTCTCGTCAATAGTGGTGAAATATCCAGATTGCAAAATCACATGTTTAACTTTAGGGCATATTTCCAATAAAATTGATGTTGGGAAGCTCTCATTTTTTCCGCCAGATTTTCTTCAGATTCAGACCAATCTTGGAAGCTTTTTCCATCATGCCAGGTACAAAACTTATTCCCTTTGTCTTGCTTGACCTGTTGGTGTAATGGTGTGTCGACGATTTGGAGTTTTTCAGTCTTCAGAAAATTCCCCGAACCACCGTTGTCGGTGACGACGTGTGACCTTTTGGTTTGGACCTAGAATGATTCCAACATCGTCCTGAGCATGACAATATGCTAGGATTGACGAGATTCCATCGTTTGATTGCCGATCAGAGTTTCGCCAATTATGCACTGTTTAATTGGGAATGATCGAATAGTCAGATCAGTCCTATCTTGGAGTATGTTCTTCCTTGTATTGTCAGGAGTATGTAGGAACTTAATGATCTAGAATTGAAGGTTTGGATAT